TAAGTTGTTGGTGAAAGTTCTTTCTGAATCGGTGAAGAATTTGCTTTTCCCATCTTAGAACCCCAAAGTCTCATTATTTAGGACTCTCGAATTGTCCTTGTTTTTATTCTGGGAGCGACGAATGAATTTCTGAAATTGTTTGTGTTTTGCAAATTCTTCTGCGCACGTCACCGACATTTTGCCATCAATCAGCCTCCCTTTTGGCCAATGCTATATCTGTCAGTTTCAAGGTTCCTTCCTACGGCAATGGACATGAAAGTCTTTTATCTCTAAGCAGTTCCTCGAATGCAGCCGTTTACTGGCTAAAGTCAAATAAGCATAAAAATTATACAGAGCCTAAAGTGCTGAAAAGTTATGTTGCCTCTAAGAGAAACAGAAGAAAGCATAGATAAAGCCAGCAAGCAATCAACCACGTAGAAAAAGTATCAATAAAACCATACGCTGTATGGATGGAGACAAGGGTCGCCCAGAAAAAGCACACCATGTAAGATGCTTCACAAAGCGGACAAAATCCCGCAAGGATGTTATACCCCGAGAATGCATGTAGCGAATTGACGAAAAGATGTCCTCGCAATCATACGCGTAGAAACAGCATAGGAAGAAGGAAGAAACATTAAGAAAAAGTAATTCTGATAAAGCGGTTGTACCTGAAAAAGCGTCGAACAATGCTACGCGAAATAGTGTGAAACAGGGTTTCGCCGTAACATTTTAAGGGAAAAATTATCAGATCAGATAAAAGCTGAAATTCTATTACAATCGTTTATTTATGCACTACGGAAGCAGAGTTCATAAACAACCCGAAATGTTGGTACTCATTAATAACGTGCCTGACTATTGCTAGACCTTTGTATAGGCTGTTTTTTATTAAACAATCAATTTCCAGTGTGAGCACTTACGGATGAACAAAACAGTCAATTCTTCAATACAGATAAATGCAGAAAGAAGTTCAAATTATGTTTGGAGAACGCACGGCTGAAAAACTGTCATCAAAGTAACAAGACACCGCAAAAAACAGCTGTGAAAAAGAATACAATGAAAAAACTGATGGAAAACACGGAATAAAGAATGTAATCACGTCACCAAATAACACGGCAAAAAGCGCGATATATGAAGATATTCACAATAAAAACAGAGGGGCAACGCATGGCTTTGCGCAAGCAGGTGGAGCTAGGGGCGATGAGGTCACCATTAGACGAATGAGAACAGAAGCACCATCACGATTAAAGATAGCAAACAACATGGACGCAGAAACGTGTAGGCAAGACGATGAACTACTTGCGTTCGAAACAAGCAAAGGAGAAGAACTCACCGGACAGCAATTGTAGTAAACAAGACCAACAAGACAAGTAGAAACAGGCTTGTAAGTTAGATTATCGGCTTCCCTTTCGTAATTCGATAGTGGCAGCCTTCTTTTCCTGAACGAGGTGCCAGGACTTCATTTCCGTCCCATCAACTAGGAGGACCTTTATTTAAAACGTGCTACTTATTGCGCGTCAGAGCAGCGCTTGAGCACTACAGGTGCTGGGTCGAGGGTAATTTTTTCACGTAATTCACGAATTCCCCTTAACAACAAATACAGCACCCAGTGTTTCAGTCTGGAGTTGGTCAATCGGTAGAGCGTAGACCTCAGAACTGCTTAACTCCCGCCTCGCCTTCAACGAAATATTGCGCGTGCTTGCGCCGTCGGTATCGACCACAAAGGAGACGTTCTCGTACATGTCTCGGAAGACGCCCTGTGCTTGCTCCGGGAGGCCGGTCTCTTTCAGGATGCGCGTCAGCAATTCGTGTCACATGGAGTCGAAGGCATCCTGAATGACCAGATAACCGACGTGTAGATTAGCCTTTGTGTGTTGGGCGTGCTTGAGGAGGGTGATGCAAGTGAAGATGTGCTCACTGCAGCCCTCAACTTGTTCGAAAATTTTTTGCACGTCCGCCGACACTATGGCGTTGCTTCACGACCAGTTAGCTAGCCGATGCTGCCACATCGAGGAGTAGAGGCGCAGGAAACAGGACTCGTTGATAATGGGTCGCCACGAGTGGACATTGGACGCGTCGCCGCTTTTGAACACCAGAAAGCATCGGTTCTGCCTCCATTGCCTACGGAGCGACTGCAGCTGGATGCAGTGTTGGTAGAGGCGGGTCAGGATTAGGCCCCCGGGTGAACATCCCGTAGGTTACTCTGTCGGCACCCAGACCTGAGTTACGGGCCCTGGCGGCTCCACAGCTCGTGTGACGTGAGGTTATTCGTAAGGGCGAAGTTGTCTAGCAGTTCCCTGGCTAGGTTCAGTCTGCATGGAGCGTCACTGGAGTACGCCGGGGGAGAACGTGAGGTGGAATAGCGCCGTCGGTATTCGGCTTATATGTCCGGAGGGGGTATGGGGCATAGCGGCCTGTTCTTCGCCTAATAGGTGACTGATAGCGGTCTGTGGAAGGCCTTCTGAAGTTGAGAGGCGTCCAACGGGACCTCCCGCTTTTTCCTGGGACGGGTGGGTTTGGGAGTGAGCGGTTTACTGGTGTGCCAGAAAGCCGAAGGATCTCGTTCGTGAGATCCTCGGTGTCAATGTTGAGGCCAACCACGTTGAGGGGGTCTTCGAGAGGGTAGAGAAATTGGCTGTGAAGGTCGGTAAGGGAGGTGGACCGGGCAGCAGAATGTTCGGTCGCCGGCGATCTCCAGTCATTGATGAGGTTGTACAACTGAGCCCACAGCTCCGACGCTCACCCTACGTGAAACGACAGATGGGCCTTGGTGAGATGATGCTCTAGGAACACGCAGCAGGAGAGGCAGCAGTCGAAACCGTTTCTCTGCACCGCCAATTCCTTGAGCTGGATGATGCACCAGTCTTCCCCTCCGCCCGGTTGCAGATGTCCCAACAGGGTGACGATCGTCGTCGTACGCCTGCAGGGAGCAGTACTACCGCACCGTCTTGACTGACAGTGATCGTCGCGGCAGACTGGGCAGATGAAGCTACCAAAGGATTGCCTGTCGACGAAATGGCACACATACAAAGACGGTGAGGGGTGTGAGTGACAGATGCGAGTGCATGACGAAGATGGATTTGAAGAATGACGGGGATTTTACAATGGAGGGCAGGCGAGGGAACGTGGGTCAACTTACCGACGGCGCTTTGAGCTGGCGTCCCCGCAGGAAAGTGCGCCTGATCGCGGTGAAGGGGGAGAGAGTACTGGAGAAATGGCAGAGTGTCGGAGGTCAAAAGATTCTCCGGATCGACCAGGCCACACACTTGCCGGCAGCGCTTGACATGGGCGTTAGCTAATCGAAGCGCCATCCGGGTCTGCGGGAAGTGAAGGTTGCAGGATCTACACGAGTGGCGCCACTGCACTTTTGTGGCCCTGTGGTTGCCCAGAAGGTGATGGGCGACGGACTGCTGGCCGAACTTGCCGTCCAACTGTTTGGCCGCTTATTATCTCCCGCAGTCACCCGGACAACCGATCATATCGGGGGAGAGAGGGGGAAGGAACACCAAAACGTCCCATACTCCATCGCGTTCAGTGACTTAGAGTGGAGCTCCCGTACAGGACACCGCGAGGTGGAGGTGTCCGGTAGTGTTGACATTAAGGGGATGAAAAGGTTGAGAGGTGAGCAAACAACGGAATCTAAAGAAATTTAATTTAAATTAAATAATGAGGTGCGAAGGAGAGGAGATGAGGTACACGAGAAATACAGATATGACTATACAACAGAGACGAAAATAATAAGGAAAAAAACTGAAAGTAAATAAAATAGAATCAAGTTGTACAATCGCGTTTCGCCGGTGCGTCGCGGCGTCCTTCACATCATTCGATTGGCCCAACTTCGCACCGGAGCTCGTCGGCGATGGCAGCCGGCACAGGGACGCTTCGGGGATTCTCGTCCCTCGATCGCGCCCTTCCAATGTCCTACGTACCGTCCTGCTGGTCTGCCGCTGCCGCTGCCTTTTGCCTCGCTGTTCGGTGTTTGGACCTCGGTTCTCCTCGTCGTCGCTCGTTATGTTTCGTCCTCGAACCGTTCGCCTTCTGGTGCTCGTCCTCACGCGGGATTTGTACTTTGCGTTTCTTTTTGCACCCTGGGTCACCTGCGGTACACCCCCTTGCGACAAAAACACCCAACGGCTCCACAGATTTAAAAGTTTATTATACAATGAATTAAATACAACAATTCTGACAAAAGTGTACCGGTGAAGTATGTTCGGTGAGGCGAGACATGTGAGAAATGACAGGTGGAAATGGTGTAGAAGGATGACGGGAAGGTGAAGGGGAGCTGCTAAGGATTAGCAGTTGGAGAGTCCGTCGGAGAGTCAGGGTTGACAGTGTCTGGGTGTTTGCCCTCCATCGGGGTGAGTTCTCCGTCCCCCTCTTCTTCGGTGATCGGTTGTGGCTCGCTGCGCGGCAGTACTTGGTCGACGGCATCCTCTTGGTTGTCGGGGCCCGTATGAGAGAAGTAGATTTCGGCCGAGAAATGGAGGATGTCCGCGATGGCAAGTTTTCGCAGGAGACCTGCGTACCGCCGCCCGACTCCTAGGAGCCGGA